AAGTGCAGCTACTTTCAAATGGCAATGTTTCTGGAGGAAGACTTGTACTTCCAAGGTGTGAGGAAGCCTGAGAAGCTTACCCAGCAAACAAAAACTCTCAGAAATAAGAGTATGGGAGCTGCATTAGCAGTATGACTTCAAGATATTAAAAGAAAGCATTCCAAGAACTCTTGCAGTTTGTTTACTTTCTTCTGAGCTAATTCAGTCCAAACACACCAGTCTACATACCACGTACCAGGGATATGGTATCTGTTCGAAATCAAAACTTCCCAGATAGTCACATCTGGGTTGTGTAGGCATAGTCCTATCCTCACACGGATTTTCAGTGCTATCTATAGCAGCTAGGGTGACCACGCTGCTCCTGTTCAAATGCCAACAAGTACTTTGTGCTCATTCAACTGTCTACTGCAACAATACAACAACTGTGAAGACTACAGAACATTAATTCCTTTCAGGGAGATCTATATTTTTATTTATATACACATGTGGGTATGTATTTACACACACATATATAGAGTCTCTATATGCTGCTGATTAGAAATACAGATATTGAATTCAAATCACATAGCATAAATCAGCACAGATTCTGATCTCCTACATCTTTCCAAATTCATTATGTTGTTAGAAACTGCAGTTGCTTCTTTTCCCAGGATCAATTTAAGGATATATTTAGAGTGTCTAGTGTTCTCAGAGACAGATAACGATGGTGGGAAAATACACTGTCATGCAAATTCTAGGTAGTACACGTATATGTTTGAGATAAAATACTTTTAAAAGCTATCTTCCAAACCAGCTTATGATACTCTTTGAAGGAATCTAAAGAAACAGAAAATGATCAGATGATTCGTTTTCTACAGGTTTTAATTCTCTGTTCTTACACACTGGCAACCATAAAAGTTACAAGATTCGGTCATAATTTGTTCCCAATCGTTTGTAAAGCTTCTTGAGGGGGGTCAGGATAAAAAAAACAACACTGAATATGTCAGAAGTTTCACAAGAGAAAAATGGCAGAAAATGTTAACTTTGGACAGATTTCCAAATTTCACTCATTTCTTAGAAAGCAATTAGCAACTTTCTCACTCTGTTGGTAAATGTGTCTCCAAAATGTAAGAAATTATTTCCAATCTTCAGGGACAGCCATACTCAACTTAAGAGCTCAGAAAAACAGAAACTTCATCTGCACAAAGTGTACATGGCAGCTCACATACTGCAAGTGGTGGCTCACCAGTACATCAATCCATTATCACTGAAAATAATCATCACTGCTGATAAGCATTTTATGTGAGAACACACTGGATCTAATCTGCTGACTGGCATCCTCAAGTCACCTATCCTGGCAGAGGCCATGAGAAGATAGCCATCTCACCTGCTCACCATACCTACATGGAGTGCTGCTCTGGGACACCACTCTGCCCAAGTATTTGCCTCTCCTGATTCTGAAGATTTAATTAAGCTGGACTTCACCCATTTTGATTAGTAAGGAAGTCAAATTTAACTGATCTGAGTTGTTCCACCTCTAACAATCCTCTCTAAAGTCTAACTGTGGTGAGCCAGCATATCTCAGGCTGTCCACTAGTCAGAAAAACGATGTAAAGGGATAGCTCAAAACAGACTGCATGGTTGCAAGTACCAGCATTTCAGAGGACATTTTTGATCAAACACATCTGCTACAACAAGCAGGATCCAGAAGTGTATGTGCTTCCAGCATTTTCATCAGATGACAAGAAAATCAAAAGGTCTCATTAGCCATGGGGCTATGACTCAGAAGGCAGATGCAAAGTGGAATGGAAAGGGAGCGAGGGGTGTGTGCGTTGGTGCGTGCATGTCTCATGAAGTACTCCCTTACTCCCTTCCTCTGTATTACTAAAATGTGATTCTGTTGAAGGAGTAGCAAGGCCTTTAATCACTAGTGCTCTTTCTGTGGAGGCCAGCTCTCTAAAACAAATCTGACATCAGGAAATACCTGAAAAAAAAAAAATTAAATCTGTCCAAGTGCCAACCTGTATCACAAGGGTAGTTAGAAGGAAGAAACATCTCCCATACACTTCACAACCCAGAAATTCAAGCCTATTTTATCTGGACCAGCACTCTTGCAAAGGAAAAATTTACAGCTACATGAAAGGTGTCCTACTTCTTTAAGGACAAATGACAAAGATATTATGGCTGAACAAAGTGAAATGGTTGGTAAGCACTCCAGTTACTACTGACAAGACAATCCTTCCCAAATTTACCACATTACTTTCTGATTTCATATGGAAGTACAAGAATTCCTAAGCCACGTGCTAAAAAGCTCAGAATGTAATCATGATCACAAGGTTCTCCTGCCAAGGGAAGGTTGCAATTGAAGTGATGGTGCTCTTCCCCTTTCATTCAGGCTGACCAGTGCCACATCCTTTCTGAAGACAACTTCAACAGGAGCAGAAATATGAGTAGGAGTGTTCAAGTAATTCAAAACTTTTCAAAGAACAAATTAGTCAAATTCCATTTCAGTGATTACATACTTGCAGGTAAAAGTCAGTTCTCATTCCAAACAGTCCTTTTTTTTTTTTTTTTTTTAAATGTCCTGGCCTAACCCATGGCTCACTATACACAAGATGAACTGAAATCATTCCTATGAATAAATAATTCATTTTGTCTTTTTTACTAAAGATTGACTTTTCCTGATATGCTTCTTCTCTTGACCACAGTTGACATAATTCCAAGACTACACAAGACGAATTCTCCTTCTTACCTCATTTAATATCCATGCAATTTACACTTCTTATATTTTCTGAGGGCACATCCTCTGCTAAAGAATAAACCAGTGCACTGGACTGACTCTCAGGACCTATTATGTAGTTCTCCTTGAAAACAGGCACTGCTTTTCCAACTACTACATTTCAGGGGAAGAGCGGCTCACCTCTCTGCAGCCCTATAGCCTGAGACAGCACAGAGGCAGTTAATTTGCAAAGAACAAATTTCTCTGTACTCACATTGTTATCCCAGCACCCCCCTAAATTCCTCAGACTGAAGAAAAAAATACTGAAAGAAACCCCCTGCTGCCCCAAGAAAGCATTCTTCAGAGTAGCAAGTTCACTTTAATCAGCGGAGGCAGCTTAAACCCAAGTTCATGGTAGATCTAAGCTGCCACAGAAATGTGTTTTGAGCAGAAACATTATGGGAAGCTTCACAAAGTTGTTCTGTGATCCTAATATGAAGTAATAAGCTGTTTACCCAGCATGACTGTACTGGGATTAATTGACAAAGGAGGGGAGATTAATTGCTATTATTTCCCTGTCAGCTTCACTCCTCCACATGCACTCACTGATCTCACAGAGACTGCTCACAGCCTTTCACTCTGTTAATGTGTCAGAACTACCTCAGATGAAACAAAGTCCTTTACCAAAAGCAATATCCAGAAGAGCAACTTGCTTCTAATCCCCTTCAAGTACTAATGAACCCAGATTTGATGCAACAGAATGAACTCTAGCACTCCTTCGCCCATCATCCTGTGTTTCTGTCAGCTTTTCTACCCATAAGCACACTAAGAACTGGAAAGGATTAAACAGATCTGCAGTGTGGCAGAGCAAAATGAAATTCTGAACTCTGTGAGGGGTACAGAAGCAATGAAGGAGGAAAAGGGAATAGGGCATGCATGTGAGTGGGAATTATGAGAAGCAGGATAAACTTTAAACCATCTCTTTAGACAACATCATAGTTCATGAGTGCAGCACTATAACTAATGAAAAAGTAGCCATTAAAAAAATTTCAATAAGAGCCTATTTTCAAAGGCCACACCTAAAAAGCAATTTTTTCTTTACCTAACCTAAATTAGGAATCCAAAGCAAGCTAAACCATGAAATCGTACAAAGAATTCAGCCCAATTAACAGAATGTGTTAAGTAGGAGTCGACTTGAGATTCTGGGTGTGAAAGTACCTGTGGTATTGGGTCTTCCCAGGAAAAAGCTGGGCCGACTTGCTCCAAATTTGGTCAACTATTATGAGGGAAAAGAAAACGTTCCCACATAATACAGACCTAAGACTCTGGAATGCTGCTACCTGCTGTTCCAAGAAATCAAAAGACAGTTTTATACTGGCTTCACATTTTTCTTTTTCCCACGAGATGGCAGCCTAGGAACACTGTAAAAAGGTTATATCCATCTCAAAAATACATGAATATTAGATTGTGCTGGGGACCACCTTTCTTACAAACTACTTTTTGGTGTAAACTGTTCAAAACAGAGTACGTACAGAATTGAAAGATGCAGAAAATTGAGAATCAATATTCTAAACTGATTTAAGAGTTAGCATCAATCAGCAGTGCACCCTCCCAACAGAGCTGTGTACTCACTATGCCCTAGTTTCTCAGCCAGAAAACTGAGACCCAATAGGGTCAGGCAGGGCATTTGTATAAGAATCTAAACTGCCTGCTCCCTTGTAAACAGAGAAGGCTGCATTTGCTCACATCACAAAGACCTTTTGACCTCCTAACGTGGCAAATTACTGCCTTCAGCCAAAAATCTCTGGCTCTTATCATCCAGGGGAGTTAGGGATGAGAGATGTTTTACAGATGTTTTATGTGCTGATCCAATCTGCTACAGTCAGTAGCTTGTGACATTCAAAGCATTATGCACTTTTAAAATGTATTCTGTTATGCTTTATTTGAATGGTTTTTGTTCATTTTCATAGTTCATGTATAAAAAACACTCTTCTCCCAGAGAGCTTCCACTCCAGGATGCAGGTCCCCAGATAGCCTGTTCTTAGATTTTTCTATAGCTGTCTGTTTCAAATTATAGTTTAGAGTCTGTCAACTTTCTTGATCAAAATCATGTAGTTTTTTGAGCACTGACAGAAATCCCTCTTCAAAGCTACTGAACTCCCCACAGTTTCTCTCAGTCCTTCCTAGAAGCCTGGGACACTCAGTACTGGAATCCAGTCCTGCAGCCAAACAGTAACACAGCAACTCTGCATTAGTTAGCCAGACTGACCTGATTCCAGCCACCCACTTTCACCAACCTTACCTGAATAACCTGGTAAACAATGACAAAGAAAGCCATCAACAAGGTCCACGCAGTGACCGCCATTCTGACATGGCTGGGACTCGCACTCATTGATGTTAGTAAGGCAGGTCTCCCCTTTGAAGTGAAAATACAAATTGCTAACGTTACTGCATGCATGCATCAGTGAAGAATACAAACTGTATTCATGATGTTTTGCAGTTCTTTACTGTCTTCTAAAAATGCAGAAGAATTATGTAAACTGTGCATGTCTCTTATAACACTCTGACAAATAGATTCTATCATTGAAACAATTATGCAAAAGGAAGCAAGGAAAGCCTAATGATTTGCCTGTGTCAGGAAAGGGAACTGTGGCAGAATCAGAACTTCTGCACAACAGTGGACCAAACTCTCATCTTATTAAAAAAAAAAAAAAAAAAAAAAAAAGCAACCCCACAATAAAGTATTATTGTTAGTCTCTCCATCCAAGTATTTTTCCCAGTTCTTAAATCCATGCTTTTATAGACATTTATAAACCAGGGGAAAGGGTGGGTGGTATTTCACCCATAATTCCTATCTACTCAAAATACAGTCTATCTGTAGCAGAAAAAAGGCAACATTTACCACAAAGCCTACCTGCAAAGCCTGGCTGACACCAACAGAGGAAACCGGCTGCTTGGCTGTAGCTGAAATCACTGGGGAAGTCAGGTTGTGACCCATAATAGGACTGGTTGGATCGCTCAAAGCATACACCTCCGTTGTGACAGGGATCTGTCGCACACTCATTCACATCCTCTTCACAACGCTGCCCTGTGTAACCTGCCAGGAGACATCTGTGTAAGGATCACACACAACTGCACTAAAACTAGTCACCCAAGTATTGTGGCTGTCTTGAGGATGAGAATAGGAACCAAAAGACATTGCAACTCATTGAGTAAGGAGTCCCAGAGTTCTCCATTTTCTCCAGCATATCAAAGGAGGGAGCTAGATAACCAATTTGCAAGAAACCATTACTTTGTGATAGAAAAACACACACAGGGAAAAGGCAGAAAAGAAGAGAAAGGAAATGTTATGGTTGAAGATCAGGGTGCATTTCCCAACAAAGAGGTTCATCCGATCCTGGATGACCAGTAAAAGGAGGCGCAGTGATAGCCTAATTGTTTTGGATAACAGAACTTCACCCTGGCCCACGATGTATGATTGTTAAATCCTTACTGCTTCAACAGGACAACTCAGCATGTGCTCTCTGTTGTAGTATATGGTTAGGGGCTGACATACAAAACAGATTTCAAACTTACCTGTCCAGCAGGCACAGCTGTAGTTCTTGATTCCTTCAACACACGTGGCATTGTTCAGACAGGGCTCAGAGGCACACTCCAGGATATCCAACTCACAGTGGTCCCCTTCAAAGCCTGTGTCACTGCAGTCACATCGGTAACTGTGGGGCAACAAAACAGAGTGATTTCATTGTTGAGCTCATGTGAGGAAAGAGCAAACTGAGCTGACTGGAGTTAGTCTTCATGTGTATTTGTGGGCAGAGAAAAAAGACAGTTCCTTTTAAGCAAACAGGCCACACTAATGACAAGCAGATCAACCTCAGCAATTTCTAAACCTACAGTATGCCTGTGAAAAGGCACACTGACACACAGATACATTCTCACCAGCTGCTTGCACTGATCATGATCTGCAAATCCCTTCCCTTTGCATCCAATATGTCAGACAGAAGCAATAACAGAAACCTTTTTTTAAGCCTCCGAGGAGTTCTGCTACTGGAATGGCCCCTCTCACATGCTACCATTAATCACTCCTTCAGTTACTACCACTGGGATGTACAAAACACTAAATCCAATTCTCTCCATGGATTTCTACAGAAGAATTTTACATCAGTACTGGTATCTAACTGCACAAATACTGATTTCTCACCTGTTCACGAGGTCATGACATGTCCCATTGTGCTGGCATGGCTGGCTTATACATTCATTGATGTCCACCTCACACTGGATTCCTTGGTAACCTGGCATACAGGTGCAGGTGTAGAACCCAATGTGATCACTGCACAAGGCCCCATTCTGACAAGGGTATGAATCACATTCATCTATTTCAGCTTCACAGTTTATTCCTTGTTAGAAAAGAGAGAAATATTTGTGTTAAAAATTTATTGAAGTATATCTGCACTGCTTGCATTTCTGAGCTGAAATTGCAAAAGCCATGTTATCAAATCCAACTGGCCAGCACAGCAATCTTTTCTAATTTTGCTGTAAAAAAACAATTCTTAGAGATTAAGGACCTTTCATTATTACTGAAAAACAGAATTGTTTTCTCTAGACTTCTGGATGTTAGTCTTATAACAAAACTAGAAGCAGTTTCCAGAATTTACAAAGCTTTAGTTTCTCCCATTTGGGTTTGCTGAAGCAACCAACTAAACAGCACTTCACAAATGGCATTCAATTTCTGAGTAAACCATGCTGATCTGACTTACATGCACACCTTAAAACTCTAAGAGCTGTTTTGACTGGGAATCCTTTCAGGGTGGAGAGGACAGGGATGAGAAGAATCACACTGCTAGTTAGGGTTATTCAAACTTTCAGATATTATATAGCTCTTACAGTTTAAGTTAGACACGGTACTCTTCACTTGTGTTGTGCTGCTATTAACCAGGTCCAATGTTCTACATCAAAGGCAGTTGCATTTTGGGAAAGGAAAAAGTGATCACTACCTGATTCCCCAAGACATTGATCCATCTGTTTAAACAATATTTGTAACTTGCTTTGAGATACCTAGAAAAAAAAGCATTAAGGCAATGCAAAATGCTAATTACAGTGATACTATATATTAGTAAGTCATTGTATTATGAAATGTTTCTAAAATTTAGGCATTAGCTCTATGTATTAATAGTCAAAAGTAAAAAAAAAATAAAAAAATAAAATAAAAAAATAAAAAAAAAAATCAGGCATTTTTGATCCAAAGTCTCAGCTTTCACTGACATAATAAGACCTCCCATGAAAACTCCTATGCAACTATCTTGCCATACTACATTCCACCACTTGAAACTGTCTATGACCTGACATCATCTCCACGTGTTAGTCACTGCAGTTACACCTGCCAATGCATCTAAGCTCTGCTTCTCCTTAAAGGCTCAGGACTACTGGAGTGGCCATCCTAATCCTCAGGAATGCGGGCCCCCTAATCTGCTGATTCAAACCTGTCAATACCCATGCAAAACTCCCTTCACCCAAATTCCAGATGAAAGCACCAGGAAACAACCTGCCTCAGTAACCAGTGGTGCTAGAACCTCTAGGTCAGGATGAAGTACTAGACCATAAAGCTCATATCCAGCATCAGAATAACTTGGAGTACAAACTCCGCCTGCTGCTTGGGTTATTTTATCACTTCCTTATCAGGGGAATCCCATAATCCTTAACAGACAATTCAAGAAAAGAGTCAAAGAAATTTTGCAAACTGATTTGCAAAATTATGTTTGATACCCCAAATCAGTACCAATCTTAAGGCCTAGAGAGAAATTCTGCTTTTTCCCTCCCAAGTCTCTGTTTGTTTTTATCAGAGTGACTCAGCATCAGGCACATTCCTGATGTTGCATTCCACTGGTAATCAGCAGCATTCTTTCACAGCAACCTAACTCTTGAAACACTTCAATCTGTGACAGTGAGGAAGGCTGAGAAAGTTCATGTGCTAAGTGGTACCAGGCAGAAATGGGCACAGTGCAACCACATTCCATTCTGATAGCAGGGCTAGGAGGAGAACCTCCCACTGCCTGCTTCACAGATAACTCACAGGTGTAGATTACTGTGAGTCATCAATAGAACAGATGCACATAAAAGGGATACTTAAGTCATATGCCAAGAAACATTCTCCAGACATCAAAGAATTGAAAAAGAAGTGTCCAAATGAAAGCCACTCTATTCTAAAGACTACTCCCCTCAGACAAATCCTGCAGGACAGGACAAAGAACTATAAACCAGTTAAACAGTTATACTTGAAAACACTAACTGTACTCCTCCTGATACTAAATCTCTTTTCTTGTATATCTCCTTTTGTTACATAGTGAGGCTAATCACACCTACATGATATCTAGCACTCCTAGCCTCAGATAATGCCCCCACATTCATTCTTAGATCAACACCTCTCAGCATCTGTACTATCCATGGAAATCAGCCTCAATTATTTCTTGGAAGCCACAACCACTACAACATTATTCCAACACGGAACCAGACACTTCGAGTTGTGCAACAGGGATTTAGTCTCACAGCTGTAAAACAACAGCTTCTCATGACAGCTACTAACACTACTAAGCTTGTCAGCAGCAAGGCACATTGTGGAACTACATGAATAGCAAGATGTAATCCAACCAACAGAGTAGTATACAAGCACAAAAGGGTACCTGTGTAGCCGGGGATGCACTTGCACAGATAGTGATCCATCTCATTCAGGCAGGTGCCATTGTTTTTACAGGGCCGGGATGCACACTCGTTGATGTCTATTTCACAGTTGTATCCTTGGAACCCAGGCACACAAAAACAGCTATACTCATTCACCCTGTCTCGGCAGATGGCTCCATTCTGGCACGGGTTGGAAGCGCACTCATCAATGTTGTCTTTGCAGTGGGCCCCAGTGAAGCCAGGTTGGCAGATGCAGGCAGAGTACCCAGGACCCTCAACACATGTCCCATTATTTAGGCAGATGTGGCTAGAGCACACAGAGCTTTGGCAGCCCTCTCCATTCAGTCCTGTTTGGCATTTACAGGCGTATCCACTTACACTATCTACACATTCGAAAAGAGGATCTTTACAAGGGTTGCTCTCGCACTCATTAATATTAATGCTACAATCAATACCTGTAAAGCCAGGCATACAGACGCATTCATATTCTGGAAGTCCTGGAGTATTGTTGCAAATCATATGGGCAGGGCAATCGTGTTTAGTGCATGCATCATAGAGGAGTTCACAGTTTATGCCCATATAGGCTATGGGGTGCATGGGACAGGTGCACAGGTACCCCACTTCCAAATCCTTACAGCTCCCACCATTTTCACATGGGGATGATGAACAACTGCTATCATTTTCAGAGTAAGAAGTTCCTGTTGAGAAAACAGACATTTTGTTAGTTAGCATTAAGTAGCCTAGGAAAATAAAAGCTCTTCTGCTAATCACCACACACATCTCAGAGATATGTTTTAAGATACTGACTGATGCTTAATGTCTCAGCTGCTGCTTCTAAGGATTCTTTTTTTTCTTCTGAACTAGTCCACTAGTGATGGATCAGAGAAATAAGTAATGCTCCTGGTAAGAGTCCTGCCTATGCTTCACACTGAAAGTGGAAGCACTAGCACTTAACCTACTTTTTACATGCCATTGCACAAACAGCTCTTCGCTATTTTTGCTATGTTCTGTATATAACTGTGGGCCAGCCAGCAACAGGAATGTCTCTGGGAAACCCCACAGCTCACATCGACAGGTAACAATGGCGGGTAACAAACAGCCAGGAGCCCGCATAGCTCTGACTCTGCCCACAGCTCTCTGCCTTCACTGCAGTGCTGTTTTTGAGAAAACCTTTAAGGTGCTGTTCTCCATTCTAAGTATTTGCCAGGATCACACACCATAGCATCACTTCTCAGCTAACCTTAACCATTCTCACATTCACACCATCGTTATCCCAGCTCATTTCTGGTTATATTTGCCTTGCTCTGGTGCATCTTCTACACACCCAGTTGTTAATCTGTGTCAGTGGTTTTCTATCAACCCAGTACCCCATCAGCTCCTCAGCCTTTGTATGTGAAGGTGGAGGCATCCGGCTTTAGGGCCTGAAAGGGATTTATAGGAGACTTTGGTTTACAAAAGCCTGCCCCTGCCCTGACCTCCCCCTAATTCCTCCCACCAGAAGACTGGTGATTTTAAGTCTTCTTTTAAGATGCAGTATTGATGGGGGGGGGAGAGTGTTCAGGGATTTAGGCAGCCCCCTCTATTCCCATCATCATCTCTATTGCTTACCCCTCCCCTTCCTCTCTCATATGATGCTGGGGAGAGTTGCTGAGCATTGCACTGTCCAGCAATCTCATTATTCCGCCATGAACCCTTTTATTCTCAGATTCCCAGTCAGGCAGAAAACAAGGATGACGGAATCTGCCTGGAATCTCTGTAGCAATTAGGGTGGGAGCCCAGGAAACTATTCCCAAAAGATTTACTAGACAGGAGATATGAGCTTTTGTAAACTTAATGAGTAGCCAGCCCCAGCCTGCACTTTCCAGAGGCCAGAAGTACAGTCTGTGACAAGAGCCCAAAACCACTGTGTGCCAGTATGATTTCTCTGATTTGCAACAGGGTTCATCTAGAAAGAAATTCACATTTAAACGAACAGTCAGCAAGCAGTGCTAGTGTAGAAGGCTGCAGTCATCTCAAAGGCTGCATGCACCATTTTCTGTTTCCATTATAAGCAGGCAGTCTAAACACTTCTTGCAAATAAGCATGCATAAAATTAATTTCATGTTACCTTCTTTTCCAACACCCTTTCCCAGCAGGTACACCTTTCTGCACTTAGTCTAATTTGGTTCATCATATGACTGCATTGCTCAATAATCTGTATTAGTCATTAATTCTTGTCCATGACAAAAATATTCAGTCAAACACAAAAGGGCTGAACTACCCAGATACCAAGTTAAGCATATGTGAAGTTTCTTTAAGAAGTCAGAAGGCCCTCTTGGTTTACCAAAGAACGGTAGCAAATTAATAGGTAAAATCCCAGTCTCCTTGAAAGTCACTACAGTTACAAACAACAACAACAACAGCAAAAGCTATCTTGTTATGTGTATTCATAACCACATTGAATAACAGAATCAGTTATGCACAGGATGGCATAGAGAAAAGTCATTTCCTGCATTGCTACTGTATTAGATTTAGCTTCTTTCTATGACTTGAATTAGGTCTAAAAGTGATGACATCAGTAGGACCTGGGACCTTACTGTGGAGAAAAATGTTCCCGTTTTTGGGATTAGTTATTAATAAACAGTGTATGTTATCACACTGACCCACAGATTCTGATTCTGTATGCCATGGGTTTTGATAGCTAACTAAATTTCTTCTTCCTGCTTTCTGTATTTTATCTTCTAATTGCAAACTTAAAACATTCTTGGCCTCAGGCAGAAGAGGAAGTTGGATGCACTGAAGGCAGAGCCAAGTTGAAAGCAAAACTCCACTTCTTCCCAACTCGTCTCAGCTCTTGCTGAACAAGGCAGTGGTCATTACAGGAACTGCTGCACCTCTTGGAATTTAAAATCAAACAGGTTATTAGAAAGGGTCCTTTCCACTCCCTGTGAGAGCTCTTCATCTGGAGATGCTTCAAGCGTAACACTGGAACCTTTCCACATCAAAAGATGTACATTACGTGTGTGCATCAATTAACCTTTTCCCTTAACATATTGATGCTAGGCAAGGAGAAAGGTCATTACTAGAGACAGCAGATTTCTCAAAGCAAGAAAGAGATTTTGAGGAGAGACCTCAAACCCTTAAGTGCCTGGAAGAACTAAGCAGTTGGCCGCTGGTAGGAATGCCCAGGCAACAGTAGCTGAGATCCTGAAGTAGCATTGCTCACAGGACACGGAAGGAGGAAGCTGAGGAAACTGCAACTTTATGTCACATGAAATAAAACGGTACCAAAATCGATTCAAATTATTCTGTGAAATATAGCTTGCAGATAGTCATCCATGCATTTCCCCTGCCCACTGGGGGCTGCAGGGACATTAACGACACTAACTCCAAGAATATATCACACATACTAATTAAACTGCAATATTTCCCCTGGACAAAACATGTTTCCAGGTAAACACAGTGTAGTCCTAATACTCATTCAGTGGTAATGCTAAAAGTTTTGGCTAAATAATTTGCCACAGATGAGACATTAATCCTCAACAGAATTTATTACAAAGTGACCTCAGAAAAGACAGTCTCAGCAGTAAGAAGTAAAGCACTGGTGTCATCAGCAGAAAGCTAAACACACTGTGTGCAAAATAACCTACATGGCTACCAGAAATGCAGGCTACCACCAAGACTGAGAAAGAACATTCTGATTTTTTTTTTTTTTTAGCTCTGTTTTTGACATTTTCATCAATCTGCTCCAGGACATACAGTAATTCCTCTCAATTTTGGAATAGATTACCATATATAAATATGCAGCCAACGCTACTAAGCACAACAAGTTAGCCTTTCCTGCTACACAACATACTGACCATAAAAACAGGCAATTCAGACCACACTGTTTTATGAGAGTATGAGAGTAGTCACGAAGAGGCTGGAGTTCATCACTTCCCCAGAAGCTGTTGGTACTGAATTAACAAAGACATTCAGGATTTCTCCTTTACCTTTCACAGGAATAACACAAATAAGTGACATTTGAAAGTGAAAAAACACGAAGAAAAAATAATGCAGTAATACTGTCCTGCAATCCTACTCTGAAATGAAACTGGAGAAGACTACAGTTTCTTTGAAGAACACGTTCCAGGAATTTAGGGTTGGATTAGGAGGGACTTCAAAGGCCAACAGTCAGATATAAAGCATTCCTTGAGCTTTCTCAGGATAGGTCTGGTTTTGCACGTTAGAAATAGCTGACAAAGATTCTCCCTAAATGATGGAGTTTGTGACCTTTTCTATCACTTTAAGGCAAATGAGTTGTTTTGCCAGGCTTTGTTTTAATAATTGACTTTAATCATTTTATACTTGATAACTTTATTAAATGTTCTTATCAAACGGCAATTACAACACCAGGTGTGTATCAATAAAATTAGAAGCAAGAAACTAACAAGACAGCAGGCAGCCTGAGAGCCCTGCAGCAGCTCACCACGTCCCCCCTGAGAGTCGGGAGGAGTCTCTCGCTTCACTGTGCCAGGACAAGGTGCTCTGCAGTGCCAAAGAGCTGTGAGAACTCACAGACCGTGTGGGAGGAAGAGGCCCTCAAGGCTGCTGTCCTTTTAGTTAACAACCCACCACAACTGCAGCTTTGTTTATTCTGTTGTCTTATACATTTTGAAACCTCAGTGGCAATTGTCCCACAGCATGAGTTGCACTGAAGTTCTTCCACAGATTTCCCTCTTCATTCCAAACAAGAGTTGCTGAGACAATACACAGAACGTATTCACAGCTCATGATGCATTACTTGCTGCCTTGTATCTTTTGGTTTTGCTTTTCACAAGTTAGTTTCCTGAGGATTTCAGAAACCAATGACAGATGTTGGATGCTTTGGGGCTGGGGATACAGCTGGGCTCATGGAAGATGCTCAGTACCACAGCTTCATGAAAAAAATCTCTCTCTCTCTCTCAGTTTAATTTTAGCAGTTCAAGCTGTTGCTTCACAAGGCACCCCCTAGTTGTCACCTACCAAGTACTCACTGATAACTAACTACCTTAAAGGAGCCCTAGAGGTCACTTAAAATTCCAAGAGGGAAGTAGCATGCGTTGCGTTGAGATTAGCCCAGAGATTGCCTTGCTTCCTTCTCTCTGAAGAACCGCACGGATGTGTGACTCATGTTGTGACTGTTTTTTTTTCCCCAAAAGATATTTTATGCCTCATTCAAATAAGACAGTGTTTTCTCAACACAGACCAAAAAATGATGAGCAGAGTCAGCAGTAACTACTGAAGATATTCCTCTCTGAACATTTGCTCACATGTGCACAGCACGCATGGTACATTCTCCTCCTGTCACTTTCTCCTGATTACAATCTCTCATAAAAGTATTCTTAATCATACACACAAATGCTGCAAGAGTCAGGATACCAGAAAATTATTTCCTGGTGTGGCAAAAACATAACGTGAGCTTAGGCAAGTCAATTTAATTTTCTGTATCAGACTGTCCAACTTATGAAATAGATACAAGTGTATATTCTCACCAGCGTCCTGTAAGATTAAATTATTCAAGTCTAATACTCTAGAGGTATTAGTGAATTCAGGAATTATAAAGTTGGATTTTTCCCTTCTCTAACATTTTATTCCTGCACATGACATGGTTATTACAACTGCTGAGCAATAGGAGAGATGATCACAGGAAAGGGTGTGTTTTGTTTCCTGTTTCTGAGTTCACGTACATTTTCAGTACTTCCAGGATCTGAACGTTCACCCGCTTCTCCGATCTCCCTAAGACATTTCAGGAAGCAGGCAATGCCTAGCAGGAGGAGGCAGTCCCTAGAGCCCTATATGATGGGCATTTTACCCAGACTACAGGAACACCAATGCTGGAAGGACCTGTCCTTCCTATATTTGGGTCAGTCCAAAGGCAAGCTTTCTGAGACAAAAAGATAAGAATCTAGATGGGTCTAATTTTTCTCATCCACCTCAGTTTCTCTCTCCCAAAAAGCCAGTATGGTTCACATCACCCAGATGAAAAGCGCACAGCTTCTTCTGCGGGATGTAAAACGTCAAACTGAAGCTGCAGTGCTTTTAACAGGTAACCAGGCTGCCTGTCTAACCAATAGCATTTCCCCACATCCGAAACCAAGTACAGCTGAAGAATGTACACTGTGCTCCTCAAGGTCCTATTTATGTGAAGGAGTCCCAAAAGGAGAAGAAAAGAGATTACATGCTTCATCTCCTCAATTAGCACTTTTGTTTTCTATTAAGCAAGTTGTACCAGACAGGATTTAGACACATTCTCCTCTATTATTTTAATGATATACTTTGGGAACAGACTGCTTAATGCCTACAAGTTGTAATTTATGTTTCTGAAATTATTATTCATCCATTATGCATTAACTATGTTTTGTGCAAGGATTTGCCCTGTTAAGTTCTTTGACTCTCAAGATATTTTACATCTTAACCTTGATGATTATCATCTCTGATGAAAATTTATGGCAGACTTAAGAAGAAAGGGGCTTCCTTCAGGTGCATTTCACCAGCCCTGCTTGCTATAACAACTTGAAAAAAGACAAGTTACAACCAAGCAGTGAGTAAAACAGGCTTCCCAGCATCAGCCCCTAACTGCACCACAATAACTGAGCTAGAGGGATCCTCAGAGTCTTAAAAAAAAAAAAAAAAAAGCCCAGCCCAATGCAGTGCTCACCCCAGCACATTTCCTTCTTGGAAAAGATACCAAGGGCAGAAAGGGAACTTGAGCATCAGAGAATTTAGAAATCAGAGAATGAAAAAAGGAATGGAAAGAGTTATGCTTCCATGACAACAGGAATGCATGTGCTTATATTAGCAAATCCCTGCTGACCTCTGCTGATCTTTCCCTGTCCTGGTCAGTGTTAGGATTAGTGGCATGGTGCACACTGAGACCTGTTCCCAGATTCTCCTCAACAGAAACAAGGCCTGGGGAGGCCTGAAAAGGGGCTTTTGCATTGAGTTCCCTTTTTTCCCCAACCCTTGCTAATTTCAGAAAGATGGCACATCTGGTATGGAAAGTAATAACTGAATGAAACCAAATCCTTCCTGATGAAGTACCTTCAGTTCATCTGTACAGGGAACATAAGAGGGCTACGAGCAGACACTGCATGCATCTTTACAAGCCCCATGTCACTCTCAACACAAGCCAATGTTGCCAGTCTCAATACATACTATATTTTAGGGTGCTCCTATGTTGTCAGCCTACTTCATGCATTTTCTTCTGTGTAACTGGAGACCAGCAGTTCCACACATTTACATGCCAAGTTTTTGGTATGGCAAAGCTTTTTCATGCCAGATATGCACACAAACTATTAGCATAAAATATTCACAAAGAGTACTGATAGACCTCGATCACTAGATCTTCATGAAGACAAGCATAAGATGATGTGACTCAGTTTCCCACTGTGAAATATGCATAGTATTTCCCCCATCAAAGAAGCAGAATGCTGATTCCTGGCTCTCTCCCACCCAGCTTACCCAGTGAATTGCTGAAAGGTGCCAAACGGTGAGCAGCAACAGTGCCAACATTATGGCCAGAGGCATTAACAGCATTAATCAGAAGTACCACTTCAGGGAATTAAACTTACTCTTAACACAGAACAAATAGCCAGCTAGATCTTTTTCATTATCTGTTCAATGTTTTAACACACATCTGAAGATGTACCTCCTATTATCTTGCTTCTAATACCTGGAGAAAGACACTAGTTATAAATAAATGTTTTATGATACCATTGAATATATTGCCACAGTAACCCTTTGATCGTCTGTTCTTAACACACTCCTTTATTTCCCCTTGATAAACACTCCTCCAAGCTAACTAACCTTCATGGCTTACACATTCTCTGATCTCTCAGCCATTTCCACAGATCAAATACAGAGACAGGGTTTCCTGTGTACTCAGTTAACCAAAATGAGTCATAAGCTTTAATTTCCAATTCCTATTTCAATATGCTGACAATCAACAAAGTTGAAAAGATCATATTTCTTTGTTCCCAGATTTAGAAGAAAGTGTGTGATTTAAACTGTCTGTATGTCTGAGCTAATCTCAAGAGCTTGCAGTAGAGCAGACAGTGAGCTGCTCAAGAAAAGGTTTGTCTGCACGTGCTCTCCTAATAGGCATCCAAAGCATGTTCCAGGCCAAAGGTATGTGAGTTACTGTGCTTGTTGGGGAAACAGGATTGAGCAGATGCTTGGTTCTGTTCTCTAGAATCTACTATGTTCTTTAGAATATGACAAATTAAGCTGAGAGCTATTCTGTTCATTACACAGAAAATTGCAGTGAAACTAGAATGACATGCAGAGTCTGTTCCACTCCCTCTGAAGTTTATTTTAAGCAACTGGAGATTGTGTGGGTCTGGAAGCAGAGTGCTCTTATGGTTACAGCTTGCAGTTGACCATCCAGACAACCAGAATTTTCTGAACACATTCTCAATAAATAACTTAAGCATCTTGGTGCTTCAACGACATTTATATTTAGCCAATGCAAAATAACAAAAATAGTCACATGCCTCACAAGGGCAAGAAAAGGCACCTCCTTGCTCATGGCCTTAAAAGTGCTACAGGTGCTACATAAATACCACCATTCAGTACAGCCACAATCTGGCAGAATTCCCCTTGCAAAACAGGAGAAGGCATAAAGACTGGAAAAGCAGCTTCCCTTGAGCTTCCCTGGCTGTACTGAGCAGCATCACCCACCTGTACTCCAAAAGGACATACTCAGTAAATTACTGTTCCAGAAAAGAGTTTCACCCAAACGCTGTGAGTGCAATGATCTAACAGCACAAATCCCCAAAAACACCCAGCTCCCAGCAGCCCCATGCTGAGCAATACAGTAGGTGCAATGGGCCTTCCTTCTTGCACAATACAAAACCACCGTAATTGCTTCACACTTCAAACTAGTAGCTATGGTTACTAGATACAAAAGACAATCCTGCTGCTTCCCCATGGCCAGAGGAATTCCAGGCACTTGGAGCTCACACAAAGAAGCTGGTACAAGGGAAACAAAAAAGAATCGAGACTAAAAGCGAAAACCAAAAGCAGTCTGACTTTCATAGCCATAGTCAGACGTGACCAGAGCAAAGTAAATTTAGGGAGGCTTCAGGAGAAAATAAAGACCATAGGAATAAAAAGAAAGCTGAAAACTTTACCCAACACTCAAAAAGGACATAAACATCATCCAATATCATGAGAAAAAAACAAATTCAGTGTTTGGCAGGTATTAGCAGCAAGAAGGCACTCTGACCATATTTTTACCTTTCCTTTTTCACATCACTGATCACTGCTGTTCTAGCTGAGTGGCAAACAAACAGGACTTTTACAGACAGGTATTGGCCACACAGTGCTGAGAAGAGCAGGAGGAGGCCAGTTCAATCCCAATCATATTTCCAGTAAAAGGTTAGACATGTTCCTGACATGACCTTATAATCCCTAGATGACTAAAACAGATGTCTAGGCCCAGCAGATCTCCAGACACCTATTCCAGAAGAAACAAATCTCTTTCTTAGAGAGCCTAACAAATTGTATACAAGGGTGACTTCTGAAGCACAAAAACACATTCACATGAACTTGCAGAACCTCAATATGAGGAAGTATATCCTATGGGCTATAAAATAAGTTTTCAATGTGGAAATAACAATTAAAAACAATCAGTGCAACATGGTCTGTTACATCATCACCTCTTGTGTTGTTTTTTAAAAATTTCTAAGGGAATACTCATGCACTGTTTTCTTCACCCACATTTTGTATCACAGATACCTGGCACTTGAGCATGTTGGTATACTCCTCTAAATACATTCCTCTTCTGCCTTGACATATCTCTAAAAGATACAGGATTAGAATAAAGCTCTGTGTTTCTTCTGTGCGGGCACAATGGTGAAATCCATAACTTTTGCGAGGAGAAAATATCAGCTGAGTACTCAATAACATGAAAGTGCACATACTTTCAGCTCTAGAGAACAAATTCATTCACACGTGCACAGGGAGAATGACAAAAGGAGACCAGAAATAAGTAGAGAGAAAAACTTATCTACAATGGAATGCCTTTTATCTTCCTGATAAGAAATTTTCAGGCTCCATCTAATCATGAGGGTGACATTTTGTCAAGTTACCTTTACAACACAAGGGCAGATCATAGACTTGATCCAAAGTTACTGCATATTAGCTGGGTAAGAATGAGGCAGAGAAGACAAAAACTTACCCCAAAATAAGAGGAAAATTGGCAGCAGGAGAGCAGCATTGTATACCCTGGATGTAGTTTTCTTTAATTCCATGACAAGCCTGAGAGTGGCTGTTCTAAAAACCTCAAGGGAGAAACAGTTGCAAGCTACTGATTACCAGCTCTCCCCGCATCACGGATTTCAGAAAGTTTTCTCTACCCCAAGCACCCACTCCATACCCTTCCGAACTGGGGACTAGCACTAACACCGTGGACAGAGTCCCTGTTCACTTTGAAATGCGTTACTCGTGTTCCTGGAACACAGAGAAAATGCTGCCTGGATCACATGGATTGAACTGCACAGGGCAGCACAAGCTGGATTTACAGGCACGGCAGCTGAAGCTCATCCATGCCCCCAGTCAGAAAAAAAGTCCCAGGCTGTCAGAGGTAGCAGGAAATTGGATAACTGGGAGAGTCATAGTACAAGGCAAAAAAAAAAAAAAAAAAAAAAGGGTTCCTCGGTGTTTTTTCTGCTTTTTGAATTCCCACCACAGGAAAATGAACCTTGCATCTCCATCACTGCCGCTGGAGCTCAGAACTGTCCTGGGGACTGAGGGAGGGCTGAGGACTATTTCTAGGATGCAGGTTTTCTATACAGTCACTACTTAAATTCCAGGTGAAGATCTTTAATAATTTTCCAAGAAAAGATGACTTGTTCAAAGAAAGAAAAGTCAAAAGACAACAATCCCACTATTCATTCCAAAGAGCAGAGACATCAGCCTTCACTGCTCTCATGAGATGTGTGAACCCACAGGATACACAAACTCACAAAAGGGAGGTGAACCCTCCTTTCCTAATAAAGGAACAAGTACAGAGATCAACAGAAGTACTTGAATAACACAAGAAGCAAATCACACCTCCACGTGCTTAAGTTTTAGAAGTGGAAAAAATTGCCTGTGTCCATTGCCTTATGGGAGTCACTGGAAACAGACAGAGCTCACACTCAATTGTGACCTGCTAAGTACCTCTAAACCCACACCACAATTGGATTAAATTAACCCTAATGAGAATTACGTATATTGCCTCACCCCTCCACTGACAACTAAAAATAGAAGGCAGGTAAGATGCCATACAAATTTCTAGTTTAAAAAAAGAGGGCGAGAATTGATGCAGACAGGCCTATACTGTTTACCTATTCCAGTGCTTCACTGGTTTCCTTCACTCCCACACTCTTAACAATACCTGTGCCAGACTTCAAAAGCAAGTGCAAAAACTGATGAAAACATAGCTCCACGTTTTAGACAAATTACATACTAAAATATGGGCTCGTTCTCACAGGCATTCTGCTATTAAATAGAGAATACCAGAAATGGGCTCCAGCCACAAGATATGAAGAGGTAAAGAATTCAACAACACCCAAAATAAACTCAAATCCACACATATCTCCCTAGTTTTAACTTGAAAACAGAGGGTAATGTGCAACAGAATAAAGACACTTCCAAGTTGGTGCCAGTGCTCCATATATTCCAATGCTAAAACTGAAAGTAAAAGTAGCTAAAAATCAGGGGAAGTCTCTCTTAGGGTCTTATGTGACATTTAGAAGGCTCAAAGGTGAATGTGAAACTACAACAGTGGTTCAAACCTAGGTGTGAGGTTTCCCAGTGCTTTTGCTGTTACTCATGTATTCGCTCACTGTGGAATCTTTTCTAGCAAGAAAAAAAAAAAAAAGGCAATCACCTCCTTAGAACCTGATGAAAGCAGCAACAATCCTGCAATGAGCAATTCATATCATCTCCACAGAACAGACAGAGGATGATGGGCCAATGCAGCAAAATGGATTATTACTACGTGTTTCTACCTTCAGCACAGAAGGTAGAACAGTAACAGCAGGACTATTTTCATTACCAAAACACGGACACAAATGGTTTGGGTCACTAACCTGACTTGGAATGCTCCAAAGATGATATCACATGTTATCAACCTTATCTGGACCACTGTGTTCCCATCTCCATCTCTGGTGTCTTCAGTCTGTTTTCTCAAGATCAGCCGCTGAGGTTTTTTTGCCAGCTACCTCAGCCATCTGGAACTCATTTCTTTCTTTTTAGATTCTCATTTTGCTGTCAAGAACTTAACCAAGCACTGACACGTGCAGAACCTTTCTGCTCAGAACTTTTTTTGTGTCACCTGCGTAAATTACACTGCTTACCTTTTTCCAGATCAAAGCACATACACATGATTTCACTGCACACTGGAAGAAACCACTCCTCTTCCTCCAATCCCTGACAGAGACCTGTTACATGCTAGCAAGACTCAGAAAGCTCAGAGACTCAGGAGCTAACAGTTTAGCTGAGGCTGAACAACTAAGAAGGCCAAGAGGAGCATTATTGGTGCCTGGGTGCATTTGAGACATCTCATGCAGCAGCTTCTTGTGCAAACATGAAGTTTTTACTCCAGAGCCTTTATCTAGTCTGCCAATGTAATGTTGATGGATTCAAACCAATTGCTTATATGCTTTCTTAATAATTTTACACCTGTAGGAACACTCTAATATTTTTGATGCTACCATTTCATGTATTTGTCACAACAGGACTTGGACTTGAGCTACCTGAGAAATCACAGCAGAATGCGGTTCTCAGCCAAAGCCTTCCACAGACAGAGGTGTGACAATCTCACACCTCTACTGCTGCCAGATATTGTGAATTCTGCAGTGCAGAGTGTGTTAGGGAGGAAGATGCTCCTGAACAGGGTTAATTTATTCCCTACAGCCACTGTTACCACCTCCACGATACCTGCTGGGACTTAAGGTTCATTTAGTGTCACTCTTTGCTCAAACTACTGAAGTCTGCATGGGTCAAGGTATTTTCTTTCATTATAGTAATAAAATACCTTAGTTTGGTGCCTGTCTCCAAGAATATTATAATTTAATTTTTCAACATTCACAACTGCAACTGTATGGGATTTTACCAGCAGAAATGGCAGACCTCTTCTGTCCTGGGCCCTTGGGCTTACAAAAACCAATGCGGGTATTAACCAGCTTAGTCCAATTAAAGGACCTTAATGCAACTCTGCTAAGGCCCTGATTTGTTAGGCTTGACTACATTTGCAATGAAAGAGCACAATTGGGTGGATTTGTTATCTAAAGAATAAGCTTCAAGTCCTTAGTCATCCTTGCTAAAGCCTTCCCCAAACTGGCCATGGATTGTACTACCTCTGCACTGCTGCAGTCCAACGTCACTATAATCTGTTCTTTAACATAGTATTAAAATTAGAGCCAAAGGACACAGCTGCTTTCGTCTGTGTAACACTCATTACGGGAGACTTAAGGACAGCAAAACAGCAAGGCTTCTATTCTCAGCTGGTAGGCAGGAAACTTTGCAAGCCGGAAATGCATGCCATGAAAATGGGGCAGCAGCAGGCAAGCTGGATTAGCAGAAAAGGGAGGGTGCAGATTCGGGGTACCCAGCAGAACCTGTTTTCTACATTCTATACTCTTCTGTAAACTTTCTGGAAAGCAATCCTATTCATTTTTCTACAAACACTTCAGAATGGACTGCACAGTGAAGTACGTAAACAAAACAGTGCTTTCCATTCTAACAACTACATATGCTTGCATGTACTGCACAGCTTTTCCTCACACAGGGGTTAAATAATATGCTAATACTACAAATCACAGACAGAAGCTGGTAAGAATGCAGTTGTTCACACCTCCTGCCCTGCACACGTACTGTACTGAGAAGGCCTTGCCTGTCCCTCCCTACATTTCTGGAACCTCACCCCCAAACACAAGTATCCCACTTTTCCAAACTGAACAATACAACATAAAAGAATCAAAATTTCCCTTTTTTTTTTTTTTTTCCCCCTCCCTGTTTTCCCCTGAGCATTATTAGGCACAACTCCATGTGACTGCAAACTTGGAACTAGGCAAGTTGAGCTATCTAAGAAAGAAGTTTCCAGTTCTACTCAAACAATTGGAGGAAAATAAATAAATAAACCACTTCAATACACTCTTCTGCTCTCAATCACAGCTGGAAAGTGCAGGATATATTCAAAAAGACCTCGGGTTTTGGAATACTAAGCCTACAGACAGGCCAATTTCATAAACTGAAAGGTTCAAATACAGTTGGGTGACGTAATGCTTGAGGGTTCTCTGGGGTCCAATCTCCCAAAATTTCCTTATGTAAAAGACAGTTACCCTTACAATTCACATCACCAATTTTCCACTTGGCCACTAGATGTCCCTTCTGCACTGCACAAATTCACACAAAGACTACTGGGTGAGAACAGGAATTGAAAAAAAAATAAATGTATTATACATCACCTGCACTGCCAAACAAACACGACTAGAAATATCCTGAAATGCAGGACTGTGCCAAGCAGCACCTTGAGCACTGTAAGGCCCACTGCACCATGCATGCATCAGACAAGCCAAGAAAAAGCTTTGTCTGCAAGTCAAAACTTGGAAGTTGTTGGTAAAACTTGGCAAGAATCACACATTTTCAGTCTCAAGACATCCTAATTACACTTTTTAGACATAATAAACTTCACCAATTACAGAGTATCTAGTATACGACACTGGTCAGTCTTGGACAACAGCAAAGAAACTGCTGCCATAAGAAGACACAGCAGAAAGGCCGCTACTTCTTGCTGTGTTACAAGTGATTGGAAAAACACGAGGGATGGTCAGAATTCTGACCCAGCCTCACTGTCCTGGAACACAATCATTACTTCATAGAAAATCACAGTGCAGAGGAAGAAGAGCAGTGCAGGAACACACAGGCAGAACAAACATTTCAGTCAGGCAGCTCCACAGACCCGCTCAGCGCGGACAGGCACTGCACGCAGCAATCGCGTTCGGCGGCGGTTGGCGGTGCGTCCCGCACTGCCCGGCCATCGGCGCCACCGCGCGGCACGCGGCGCGCCCTGCAGGGAGATGCAGCGCTGCACCAGACAAAGAACAGCTCGCGTCTGCAGTACAGCTACAAACAAGGGAAAAAGTCTCCGAAATCCCGCTCTTACTGAGAAACCGGGACAACACCGAATTCTCTTAAGAGGAATGGCATCTTAAACAAATTTCTTCTAACCTTTTTTACCAGCAAATACTGAGAAGACACCCTTTGGCCTGCAGATTACAGGTCTGGAGTTAGGATTTGACAGGACAAAACCGAAGCAGGCTTCCTGAAGTCTGAAATCACCTGCTCTGCATTGCAATATTGGCCATATGTGCAGATCACTAAACATGCTTCATTTCAGAATAGAGCTAGAACTGTAACAAGAATATGCAGTGCATGCAGAGAACCTTACAGCTTCTTCTCCAGCCTATGAGCCCGTCCACAACACATGCGGTAAAGATGGAGCCAAGCTTCTGCCAAGTTATCTCTAAGAGAAGTTGCAGAAGTCAGGCTCTAAC